CCCCCCCCCCCCCCCCCGTCCTCCCTTTTTACTCACACACATTCACTCTGAACTATAAAATACATTTTAATCTTCAGTATTTAATTCAACAAATTATGTATTTTCTTTCCCTTCTAGCTTTGTGTGGCTTCTGCATCCTAACAGAACCGCATTCAGAGGACAGTATGTTTTTTTTTTCTTGGTTGTTTTTTTCTCCCGCTGCCTGTGTGTTTCTGGTGTGACGCCTTCCCCAGATGCTTGAGGGAGTGTTTTGAAGTGTGGGAGGTTGGTGAGGGGAAGTGGGGGTTAGGGCATGTGAGCGGTTGGTGTTAAAACTTCAATCACAGTTTAAAAATGACAGTTCGGAGGTGTGAAACCTGTACGAGCTCCATTTAAAGTAATGCTACTGATATAACTACACTATTGATCCCCTGTGTTAGCGGCATACAAGCAGTGGGTGTGTTGCTCGATTTTGTGATGCACTTCGAATACATTATGTAGACATGCACTTAGCTGTTGTTTTTCTTCGACCAACAAGGAACAGAACATGAATAAGAAAACATNNAGAGAGAGAGGGAGAAAAAAAAGAAGACAGCAGCCAGTTCTGTTTTTTCAATTATGCTGTGTTGTTTTTTATAGCATAGTTTTCAGACAGACAGAGCTGCAGTTAATGAATCCAGACTGTTTTTCCACCTCTAGGGAACAAAGGGGAGGGATAAGGGGATGATGCATGGAGGAGGAGAGAGAGAGGAGGAGAATGGGAGGAGATAGAAAAGCCTCTAGCTTCGCTGGAGCCATTTCTGTTAAGCAGAAGTGGAGGAAAATGGCAGTGGACATTTTTCTTCAAGGCTTTCATTAAACTCTTCAAATATTGCACAATCTCCTCTTTTCTCCCCCATTTGTTTATCCATTGCTTAATCAGTGAATCAGTGTGTTGTGGGGCAGCTGGAAGTGTTTGAACAGAGATCTCTGTGTTAAAAAGTAAGAGCACCTTTGGGAATACAGCCCCTGATTCCAATAAACCTCAGAAATGCTGCTGCACAATGCCCAAGTTTCCTTAGTGGAAATCAAATCTCTCTCTCACTCTTTATTCCTTTCCCTTTCTTCAATCTGCATTTTTCTTTTTGTCTGTTTTCCACTTTTACTCAAACCCCCAAATATTTGACAGTGTCTCCCTCCCTTAGCTAGTCAGGCAGTTTTTCTAAACAGAGGTCTCCTCTGGAATTACAGTCTGATTTATTGGACCAGAGCTGGTAAGCTTTCACTATGCACACTTTTATGGAGCTCTTTTTCAGAGGAATCTGCTTTGTCATTTCCCCCACCCAAGCTTTGCTTTCCTGGTTGGAGAAATCGATCCTCTGGTCTCCCTTAAATCACCACAGTGACCTGATCACCCTGGTAAACCACCATATTAGACCTCACCCTTGGCACTGAGCGCTGCATGACCGAGGACTCCTGCAGCACGACTTTAGCTCTACATCTGAGGTGTTTGTGTATGTGTGTGAGTCAGTGTGTGTGGATAGTTCAGTGGAGAGCAGAGCTTGTGGCAGCTGTGAAAATACAAATCTTGTGGTTTGTGAAGCCCTCCTCCCCACTCTTTCTCTCACTCTCTCTCTCTCTAGCTGACTCATATGCAAGAGTATAGGTTTCATTCCCTATGTTAAGATTAGTATGTAAAGGTACAACAGTCACTGCTGGAAGAAGTATTCAGATCCTTTGCTTAAGTAAAAGTACCTAAACCACAAAATAAAAAGATGACTGTCAAATAAATCTTGAAAAATGTTACTAGGACCTGTGTGTAGGATTCAGTGACAATGAGGTACAATGATTTGTAATCCTGGTTCATCAGAAATGACTGAAACATAACAAATAATCAAATGAATGCTAATTTTATTCAATGTCTGCCATGAAAACTGAAGCAGAGCAACTTGTCAACTTAAAGGTGATAAAATGTTAGTGTCACCTGTCACTTTCATGTTATTATATTATTGTATTATTATTACTGATGCATTGTGTTAGCAATTCATTAATTAATGTTGTAGTTGTTAATTCGTGGAGATAAATTTAACTATTTTATATACTGTTGGGTAGTTACAGATTTTTATATCAGTTTGCAAAGTAACTATAGTAACTGCTGCTGTAAACAGTAAAAAGTATGATTTTTATAGAAAATATAGTGGTGTACAAATATAAAGTTGCATAAAATGAAATAAATGTAAATAAATTACATCATCTCAGAGGTATACTTAAGAAGAGCACTGGAGTGCCAATCACTACAGTAAACTGGTCATTCTGGACCTTTAATATTGTCTCTCTTTCCTTCAGCTTTAACAATAGCTTTCTGTTTCTGATCCTTGGCTCAGACTCAGTGCGGCTGAGCTGGTGTTTGAGTAAAGGAAGGAAGAGGAGGGAATGAGGGAACCAGGGAGAGGGGTATATTAATGTCTCATGTTATTCTTTTTCACTATTTTTCTCCTTTCTCAGACCCTCCCTATGTGGTCTTGCACCACATTCAAAAATTCAGTTTAGACAGAGCAGGGATATTCCATTTTTTCCTTTTCCAGGCTAGTCTCTGTTGAAATTCTGTAGGCTGTAAATCTTCCATAAAGTATGTGTGTGCTGTCATGTGCACACTTCTAGGTGTTTGATTTTCATCAATGGGTGGGGCACTGGTCTTCCCTGTTAGCTGAACCTCGGGAAAATAAGCACAGCAGAAAATAAGCACACCCATCATCGCTTAGCTACAGCTACAGCAACCTCACGATCCTCGAGGCAACACACAACATGTCACATATTCTGTCTGTCTGAGTGACTTTAAATGACAGATGACAGACGCACTACCTTGACACTTGCTAATTGGAGTTGGCTGTCATCTCATTTGTCAGTCAAGAAAACTGCCTCGAGTCCAAACCTGAAAATCTGGACAGTGTGTGTTGAAGTAGCTGCTACACAGTATGGCTGACTAATTTACTTCATCATATGACTATGAGTCAAACTGTTCCCCATCTGCTGCAAGTATATACAACAACATCACATACTCAAGTTCAAAATGAATCAATTCCAGTTCTGAAAACAGTGTTTTCCCCGCATCTCCCGTCTCCCATCTCCCCCCTCCTCACCCCTCCACCCTTTCTCTGTCCAGATGTGGAACAGATGGCCATCGACTGGCTCACCGGAAACTTCTACTTTGTGGATGACGTGGATGACAGGATCTTCGTGTGTGACAAGGACGGGCAGACATGTGTCACACTCCTGGACCAGGAGCTGTACAACCCTAAAGGCATCGCCCTGGACCCCACCATGGGGTCAGTTTGATCTCTTGCTTTCTGTCTCGTGCATAAGCACACATACAAATGCAAAGACAGGTACCATATGTGTGCTTCTAAATGTACATGAGACTGAGATCCTTCTCTAAGTGCTTCATGCAAACCCATAGACCCATGAGAGTGACTGGAGTCAGACTTCTGTCTTCTCATGGTGTTACCCAACTTTGAAACAAAGAGTTTAAATGGGGGGAGGCTAAATTGAGGTTTGGACATTGGGGTAATTGAGTACAGATGTTATGTTTTCACTGTGGTATGCTGACTGTATAGGTTTCGAGTGTAAAAGCATGTTTTTGTTACAGCTCTTTTGTTTATGACCAGACTTTCCAACTGAATTCCTGAAAGTGTGTGTATATCTGTGGCACATGCTTGAGTGAGTGTATGTGTGTGTGAGCGCTTGTGTGGCTGGAAAAAATTAGCGGCATGAATGTGAGAGCTTGTGTGTATATGTGCACACATTTGCTCGTAGCTACGCGCATTATTTTCATCCCACTCAATTTCCTTGGCTGTTATTGGTTTTTCCAGTAATAAGGTCAGGTAGATTCACTGTAGCTGGGTTTTTTTTGTTGTTGTTGTGGTGGTGGTCTGCAAGGGAGAAAAACAAGAATAACAAGAATAACAGCAATTCTTTTCTCATCCTTTTCTGTGCTGTTAATTTAGTCACCACAAATCTGGCTGTTTACTGAGTTCACCCTAAAAAATGGAAAATTGACAACAGGATTTAGTTTAGTTTAGTTTAGACAAGGATCTCCAGATATCTGATGAATGAAATTGTGTGGAATGTGTTTTTGAGCTTTTTTAAGACTTTTAAAGGGACTGTGAGTATGATTTGTTATTTGTAGCTACAAATAAGTCACAAGTGTTGTTTTTGCAGCAGTGAAAAACTTAATAATGATTATACTCTGACATACTGTGTGTGATCCTCCAGGACTACCTTCAGCCTACTGTCCTGTCTATCTATTTAGAAATAAATTCATATGTTTTGGTCTTGAAATTGGCATAGGAGAGTCCAACCAACAGCCCAAACCTTAAATATATTAAACAAATAATTTGTGTTATTACTTGAAGGACTGAAACAATTGATTTTGCTTACTGTCTACTATCAGGGTTGTGTCCTGCCTTTCTACTTTTGCCTACTGAAAAACTAGATCATTATTGTCTCCCTGTGATGGAAATAAGGGCAATAAATCTATTGTAACAAAGCCAGTTGGGCTAAAAATAAAATTTCAGTTGATCTATCCATCCATCTATCCTCAATCAGACCTCATCCTTTGTTTTCCACAGTAAGGTATTCTTCACAGACTACGGTCAGATCCCTAAAGTAGAGCGCTGCGACATGGATGGCCAGAACCGGACCAAGCTTGTGGACAGTAAGATTGTATTCCCCCACGGCATCACACTGGACCTCGTCAGCAGGCTGGTGTACTGGGCTGATGCCTATCTGGACTACATTGAGGTGGTGGACTATGAAGGCAAGAACCGGCACACCATCATCCAAGGCCTGCTGGTGAGCACACTTGCACTCCCGTTATCTTTCTTTAGCAGGAAGATAATCTCTCTTAAATGTGCTGTCCTTGTGTATGCTATTCATAATTCTCTAAAAACTCTAGTGTACATTAGAGTTTCCTCTATAGTATATCTATAATGCACCGTATGTTTCTCCTGTGTATTCCTGTAATTTGCTCTTGCCCAGTGAGTTATGAGCAGAGTGAAGCTGGTGGACAGTTACCTTTTCATTAAAGCAGCTGATTAATAGTCTCTAATACTCAGGCTGTTGATGTTGCAGCGCTGATAAAGCACAGTGGCTCTTAAATGTGTTACTATGGCTTTTACTGTGATCTGTGAAGAAGTAATGGCTTTCATTTAATCACTGATCCTAAGGGCACAGACGTACACATACAAACCACCATATCTCACATCCTTCAGGTTAAGGTTAAACAGAAGTGTGTTATTAATGGTGCTGAGTTCGGGCTGTTTCATCAAGAGTATATGTGTTTATACACAAGGCCTGACATGTCCTCTAAAAGTGGTAATCTTGGAAGATTTTAATTTAAATAATTGTTAAGTCACTATATATTTCTGAATAGGGTAACACAATGGTTATTGAACCTATGGCCCACTGATGGAAACCCTTGCATTTGCAGTATAATAAACTGGGTGTCAGTGGCAACATTGCCGCGCAGTTAGTGACAAAGTTAGGCCATGTTCAGATTGCAGGCCAAAGTGACACAAACCATATGGAATCGGATCTTTTCAATTCTGATTTGGGCCACTTTCACATGTGGTCCAAATCAGATACAGATATATTTTTTGCAGTCTGACTTGTAATTGAGGCCCTTTTGACATATCCAATTTTGATGTTGGCTATGGGCAGTTATTTGCTCTGTCGGTTGGTCAGTCGGTTTTCTTGGCTGGATGAGTAAAGGTGACATAGTGCACATTATGTTTCCTTACAGTCGGATACTAATAGGTGTATAGTCACTGTATTACCTCAGCATAGCATTTCCTTTCAGTCTATAATAGTAACCCTTTTTATATATCTGACTTTCTGTCTCTCTATGGTCCAGTGAGCTCCACACAGCCTGCTGTGATAGACCACAATGACATGTTAGGTTTTATGCTGCTGCAGACATGGCCTCATGGGACACTGAGTCACTGACCTATGTCTGTTCAGATGTGAACAGCCCTGCTTCTCTTCCTGATTTTCTCAGATGGATACTAGTTTGTCTGTGAGTTCAGGCTGTTGAGAGCAGTGAAGCTTTCCCAGTCCCTCTCAGTCACTCGCTAGTCGCTAGACACTTCATCATCTTTATACCAATACCACTTGTGTCATGGCCATGGGAAATAGTAGTTTACGAGTTTACTAGGTGGCTTTTAAAATTGTGTATATGGACATCTTAAAAAAACATGCAAGACACAGTTTAACCATTGTTCTACAACACAGCGCATGGTTTACTAAACGTAACCATGGAAACAATACCTCGTCATGCTACATTACCAGTTAACAGATTCATTGTAAATTTAATCAAAGCATGAGAAAAATGACATAAAAAAGTATTACGTTTAATATATACAGTAGCTATAACTATTAGTACTTACAGTAACTTACTTACAGCAATAATTGATAATGAATAATCTGAGGTTTCTTGCCACTCCATGTTGAATCATGGCACTCTTTATCCACTGTAATTCATTATTTTCATATATTAGGGCACCTCATTGTTTGTTATTGCTTGCAAGTATATAAAACATAGAAAGTCCCTCTTTGCATAAAGTGCATAAAGTACCATATGAAGGTGAGGAAGGAGTGTGCATCACTGAAGTTTCTAAAAAAAATCAGTGGCAGGCTTTTACTTTTCATCAGACTCATATGTTTAGTTAATAAGTAGAACTATCCCGAACCTGCAACAAACGATCACATAAAATCTAATCTAAGATAAACTTTTATTTTTAGTACTTTGATTTCAAAGTAATTTCCCTCTATTTTACTCTTTCCCTCAACCCTTACCTCATCTTCCCACTTCCCATTTTTCCTCTTCAAGATCGAGCACCTCTACGGGCTGACTGTGTTTGAAAACTATCTGTATGCCACCAACTCAGACAACGCTAACATGCAGCCTAAAACCAGTGTGATCAGGGTCAACCGCTTTAACAGCACCGACTACCAAGTCGTGACCAGGGTGGACAAGGGAGGGGCACTGCATGTCTACCACCAGAGACGCCAGCCTCCAGGTATACTACACACAGACACACACACAC